ACATTAATTTAGGAGGGATTATAGGGAATCTCCAGGCGAGGATAGATTCCGCCAACTAGCTTACAACATTATCAGCTATATAAGACCTCATAAGTGGTAGAGCAAGGACAAATATCAGTTTGTGGGGGAGGGGGTGGGGGTCCTCACATTATCGCTCACCAGCAGATGCGAAGGCCTTGGGTTCAAATCCGAATTTTTTTCATGCATAATCTTAGCTCCCAGATCGGCGCCTCCTTTAAATGGGTCCCAGGTAAAGTTATGGGAAGTTAAGACGGCCGGTGTGATGTTGACCGCATCACCCACCGAGTGCCGACTGGTCTATAAAATATAGGTCTAGCCCTATATACCCAACATGTCTGAAGACTGGAAAATTGTCCTTTACTTTACAACCACTCAAACTAAAGGTAAAAAAAGTATTTTTTTTTCCGGGCCATTAGCGCCGCAGGTTTATGGTATCAGACGCATACTTTATAAGTTTAGTCAATCGTAGGGTGAACGATGAGTCCAATCAATCAGCGCTCTTATTTATGTTCATTCTGTACCATCACCTCAACATAAATCGATCACTGACCTTTCACATCAAACACAGGACTTACTTGGCAATTCTTAAAATAAATGACACGCTAAACAATGACTTTAAATATTATTTGCAGCTTTGCACATTTCACCGTGAAAATAGCATACATTTACCAATAAACTGAAACAAACATTTGATTGTCTTTGAAAAAATATCAGTTCAAGCAAAAAGAAGGACTAGTAACTTGGCAATATCACTTTCACGAACGACAAAACTAAGCGTTGCGACTAGAAAGATACAACTGATTGTCTTGATTGATTGATTGACTGATTAAGGACACTCACTGAACAATGACCAATACCAAACACTATTCATTTTGTTCATTCCGTGCCAAAACTACCATCCTAAATTGAGCCTTTATTGTTATCAAACATTAAATTGTCTTGACAATTTGTAAACAGAAACTTGTGAAATATCGACTCGCACCAAATAATACAATATTCGATGAGCAGTCCTTCCGAACCATTAATGCTCATCTCCTGGTTTATCCTGTACTGTCAGGTCAACACAAACTGACCACTGACTGTAACCAAACAACATCCTGTCTTGACATACCCTAAAAGGGCACGTAAACTGGCAAACGTTGACTCTAACAAAACAGTGTTCTCCATTGTGTTCGTTTAGTGAAAGTCTGATCAGCAAAAATAGATCAAAAACATGTACACCCATACGTGCTTGTCCCGACTTGTTATGAAAAAAAACTTGTTACAGGTTAAAGGTCTGTGGCTTAGGCGTTTCAACCCCAGCTGTGAGTGATTTGACAACAGTCTGACTAACGTTGGCTTCGCATGTGGTATCGAGTGTCCACCGTTTAGTGGTATTGGCAAACTAATGAACGTAAAATTCCCTAGTAAAATCTCAAGCATATTTAAAAAATACTGGGGCTGGTTCCTCAACTGGTTGAAGAACTGTTCACACTGATTCAGTTTCTGCAGCGTCTACCATTTAGCATGTAAGAAGATTCCGTAGTTTCGTTATCGTTATATACAATTTCAATTTACCGCCTGTCTTCACAGACGATATTTACCGCCAGGCTTTTGATTTTTACCGCTAAAAGAAACAAGTCACAAATGGGAGAACAAACGTAATCTTTTTTAGTATTCGAAACTGTGTTTCCCGAAAAAGAGTTTGGTTTCATAGCATCTAGCTAGCCTCTACTTAAATTCATTCGTTATTTCTGTCAAAACATGTCTGTTCGAAAACAAGACACTTGCCATACACATGTTGAATGTCCGTCTGTTTGTGCTCTCCTGGTTCCTGTCTAAAGGATTGACCTCTCTTGTTGACGAAAACATCGTATCAAGGAAGACAAACCAACATCACAGATACCCTCGTTCAACCCCGAGATCAATTGTAACTGGAGCATCAGCAACGATTACACCAAGTTCTACCCAGCTGTTCCTTATAGCTCCAGGCGGATAAGAACGAATAACTGTGCCGTAAGACCAGTGACTCTCAACCTTCCTAATGCTGCTACCCTTTAATACATTTCCCTCATCTTGTGGCGACCCACAAACAAATGTTTTCCTTTATAACTTCAATGAATATGTGTTTTCTGATGGTTCAGGCGATCCACGTGAAAGGGTCGTTCGACCCAAAAAGGTCGCCATCCGCAGGTTGAGAATCACAGTGTTAGAGATTTCTGCAGTGTCCAAGAGCTGGAACACCACTCTTCTTCATTGGCTATAATATTCTCTTCATCTTCGAATCTCTGCTCGGTCAGCAATAGCTGGAGAAGACGAATGAGCGAGGGAAAAAAAACCAGGCGGTTTTTCTAGGACAGTCAGGTTGTGGTCTGCGAGTTGCTGATGGTCAAGCAGGGATTGGATTTTAGGATCATTCTTATCAACATGATCTGCTTGTTCCACGTTTTAAATAAGACAGCCAAGCAAGAGTATCGGGTGTGGAGGGAGATATAAGGTCCTGCTTCGTGATTTTCTGACTGCTTCGACCAAAGACACATCGTGGTACTGTAGAGTGTCTCTGATGTTATCATTTCATCTTGTTCTTGGTCTACCTCTTGCTCTACGTCCCTCTCCTCTTTTGGTATATACATTGCATGGTATATTATCAGAAGGCATTATCTCCAAACGGGCAAACCATGGGATTTGCTGTCTTTCTATGTAATCTAGAATTGGTTCTGAGCCGACTTTATCTCGTATGACCTCATTCCTGATTTTCTCTCTTCTGTCTCCCCTACACCCTTTCTCAGACACCTTATTTCCATGGTTACTAATTGTCTTTTACGTTTTGTTGTGAGTGACCACGTCTGGCACTGGTAGCATAAGGTGGAAACAAATGTGACGTGCATGAGATGTCTCATTGTGCTGACTGGGATTGCTTTATGCTGTAATTGGAAAGGGGAGGGGAGGGGGGTCCCGCCAGGGCAAAATGTAGGAATAATTAAATACGGCGTTATGATATATATTGGTAAACGAGATCTATGCTAGCGATGGTAGTTCATCAAGAAAAACAGTTTAACAGTCTAACATTGTTCTCATCATGTTGACGCTATTCAAACATCAGTTGATGTTCACGTTCAATTGAGCCTTGGTTTCAAGCAGGACACAAATAAAATTATTTTACGTTAACCGGTAGTCGAGATTTGAGCTTCTCTGCAAATATATCAGTAGATAAATGCTCCATAACTTACTGTGCACGTGAAAACGCAAAGACTTCTATTACTGCCCTATGTGAGAAGTCCGGGTACAAGTTCCGACAGCTCCTGTCAGTTCGAGAATAGACGAGACTGTTACGTCAATTGAGTTGGTTCTTCGGGACATTGTAGGTTTATAAGAAAAGCGAATAAACGACGTTTAATGCATCAAACTTTGGCACATGGTACAGCGACACGTAGTTTCGGAATGGAGGTGGAGTCGGTCTCTGCAGCTCTCCGCTGGTTGGAGAATCAGCTTTACGCACCTGTGTCATTATTGCGATGACTTAAAAAAATTCTGACAGAGAGGTAAGGCAGGCATGATGAGCGCAGTTTGGCAAGCTTCGGTTCTGAGGTTCAATGTTGTGAGCAATGTTTTGACTCATCTCTGCAGCTACTGTAGGGGGCATGATCAGGCAGAACAGTCTTCTGGCTCCGTCCTTCTGGATGACGAATTTATGCATGCAAGGCAGAGGTGGTCAAGCTTTTATTTGGGAGGATGTGAACAGCACGGAAACGCGAACGGATCATTACGAGCCGAAATGAATAATAATTTAAAACAAAATATAATGTGGGGATGACACGGGGATTTGACGGATACTCAAATCTCAGAGTTGGAATCCCCATCGAGAAGTATTTGTTGTTTTAAAAATTGACCCAGGGTTCGAGGTCGACACAGCCTAAAATCGTTCCTATGTAATTTATAGGAAGTAAAGGCGACCTGCAGGGTTTTGGCCACACTATCCACTCAGTGCCGATGAATTAGTCCATACAAATACGAGTCTAGTATCACATGCCTGATGCATCATTAGCGTTAACAATAGCCCTTTTCATACATACACAGCTCAGAGGTAAGGCAGAGCTGGCAGATATCATTAGTATAAGATCCCTGGCTGCTGAGTCTGGGGACGCAGTGGCTATGAAGACACCACGAGGGTTATGATGTCGGTTCTCAACACAGTCTTTAAAGCGTGTCTTTTCTTGACGAGGTGTCTAAACGCACGCGTGAATCCAGCAAGGAAATATCATTATAAGCAGACAAAGGTTCGAATCCAGGTGAAGCTACTCAACTGATTTCAGATTTTCCATTGTCAAGCATGCCCTCCTATCTCTGTTGCTTCGCATTATTTCAGTGACTGTCGACCTTCTTCGACATAGCTATAATGACCCGTAGGGTTATTAAATAGGATGGTGCATCTAAGGTGGTCGTCGGTCTTCCATAGCTTGTAACGTCTTGTAATAAAGCTCTGTTGAAACAGATTCCTAACTTCTGGCATGTGTTAGAGCAGTCTGGCAGTACACGCACAGGCGTCTGCTTGTTTGCTTCGCATTTACAGATGACAGGCTCTTCAATTGTTGTTTGTTTTTTCCAGTTGAGTTTGTTTATCTTCTTCTTCTTCTTCGCGTTCACCAGCTGTAAACTCTGGCGGAAGGTTCTGGTTGCTCGTCCACTACTAAACTGCAGTCCTGCTCCAGAACCTGAGTGTTGCGTGTGCATCAGTTTTACACATCTCATTCTCTTTAATACAGACTAAATGGCACGAGCTGTAACTGAAGCGTTGCTCTTTGGTCTGAATAATTCTTGCACTTTTGGCAAATCAGCAGGATCAAATGTCGATTGTTATTTGTGTTACATAATCCTGATATCTCTTTTTTGTATGCAGTGGTAGCACTGGGGAACGAGCAGAACTTGAAATTTATGGGATTGTAATGAGGTGTAATATTTCTTTTTGTCTTGTCTTGTGTTTGGTCACAGAGACTAGTTGTTCAAACTGCGTCTGCAACGAAAGGAGTTCGTATATGCATGGACAACAACTCTCTGTCTGCCTCCGTCAGTTGCTGTTTCACCAAGGGAATTCTCGTGCAGCCGTTAAGTGAGATACTGTGTCTTACCTCCCCAGTTAGTCTGTGGAAGGAAATAACAGAAATTAAATCAGCAAAAGTTAGTTCTTGTAATGTACCGTTCATGTTTAGTGATATTTTGTTTGTCAGTCTACATGTGATAAGCTTGTACCTCAGAAAGTCTGTTCTCTACAGCTTTCTCTCTACGGCTTTCTATTTACAGCTTTCTCTCTACAGCTTTCTCTCTACGACTTTCTCTCTACAACTTTCTCTCTACAACTTTCTCTCTACGGCTTTCTCTCTACAGCTTTCTCTCTACAGCTTTCTCTCTACGACTTTCTCTCTACGACTTTCTCACTACAGCTTTCTCTCTACAGCTTTCTCTATACGACTTTCTCTCTACGACTTTCTCACTACAGCTTTCTCTCTACAGCTTTCTCTCTACGACTTTCTCTCTACGACTTTCTCACTACAGCTTTCTCTCTACAGCTTTTTGTCTACAGCTTTCTGTCTAGAACTTTCTGTCTATCTTTTATCTCCAGGTTTCTTTCTACAGCTTTCTCTACAGCTTTCTCTCTACAGCTTTCTCTCTAATTACATTTCAACATCCACACTCAATTGCAGGTTACGTCGCAACCGTGCCGATGCCCTAATGTGTTATATCGTTGAACAGGGTTTCCGTAGATTTTGTTCAGTTTGATTCTCACCCTTGAGGTGTTCAATCTACGGTCGCAATCTTAGGAGAACTTTAACCTATCTGTCTAAGTTGCTCTGTTACGCTCTCTCTCTCTCTCTCTCTCTCTCTCTCTCTCTCTCTCTCTCTCTCTCTCTCTCTCACAGAGTCGCTCATACAAATACGTTTGTGCATGTGCGTGTGTGTGTGTGTGTGTTTGTGTATGTGTGAGTTTCTCTATTACAGCCAATCCATCCATCTCTTCTCCTCTCTATATGTGTCCTAACCTACATAATCTCTTTCTTTTTTATATCCATCGATCAGTCAGTGTATTCATACATCCATCCGTCCGTCCGCTCGCGATACTGATGACGATGATGATGATAACCGAGGTGAGGATAATAATGATGTTTATGATGATGATAACGTTCTTGATGGTGATGACTACGTTAATAATGGTGATAATAAAGTTCCTGATATTGATGACTATATTGATAGAGGTGATCATGAAGTTCGTGATATTATGACTATGTTGATAATAGTGATAATGAAATTCTTGATAGTGAAGACTATGTAGGTAATTGTGATAATGAAATTCTTGATAGTTTTGACTATGTCGGTAATTGCGATAATAAAGTTCTTGATGGTGATGACTATGTTGATAATGGTGATTATGAAGTACTTGATGGTGATGACTATGTTGATAATGGTGATTATGAAGTACTTGATGGTGATGACTATGTTGATAATGGTGATTATGAAGTACTTGATGGTGATGACTATGTTGATAATGGTGATTATGAAGTACTTGATGGTGATGACTATGTTGATAATGGTAAAAAGAAGTTCTTGATGGTGATGACTATGTTGATAATGGTGATAATGAAATTCTTGATGGTGATGACTATGTTGATAATGGTGATAATGAAATTCTTTTTGGCGATGACTATGTTGATAATGGTGATAATGAAATTCTTGATGGTGATGACTATGTTGATAATGGTGATAATGAAATTCTTGATGGTGATGACTATGTTGATAATGGTGATAACGAAATTCTTGGTGGTGATGACTATGTTGATAATGGTGATAATGAAATTCTTGGTGGCGATGACTATGTTGATAATGGTGATAATGAAATTCTTGGTGGTGATGACTATGTTGATAATGGTGATAATGAAATTCTTGATGGTGATGACTATGTTGATAATGGTGATAATGAAGTTCTTGATGGTGCTGACTATCTTGAAAATGATTATGTTGATAATGATGATAACGATAGTGATGATGATGAAATAACGGCACAAAGATAAGACTCGGCGAGGGTACCTGAATTCCTCGGTCTCACTGATGCTGGTGTAATCGCCTGTTGACCACTTGGGCGAAGGGCTTCTGGTGATACAGCAGTTTCTCATGGAAGTGGACACTCGGTTGATCACCGGCACACGCCTGGGTCAGTGGAGAAGGCAAGCATTTTATAGCTGCGATAGTAGTGGTGGTAGTGGTGGTGGTGGTGGTAGTGGTAGTAGTGGTGGTAGTGGTGGTAGTGGTGGTAGTGGCAGTAGCAGCAGTGGCGGTGATGTTGGTAGTAGTAGTGATGATAACAGTGATGGTGATGAAGCTGTGTTAGTTTTAGTGGTGGCTGTAGTGGTGGTGTTAGTTGTAGTTTAAGTAGTATAGGTGATGATGATGTTAGTGGTAGTAGTAGTAGTAGCAGCAGCAGTAGCGATCTATGACAACGGAAAACATGCTATTGACTTTTAGCTCATTAGTAGTGCAGGAAAAATTTCTTCTTTTCCTTTTTCGCGTTCACCAGCTGTAAACTCTGGCAGAAAGTTCAGATTGTTCATCCACTTCTGGACTGCAGTCGTGTTCCAGTACCTGAGTGTTGCGTGTGCATCCGTTTCACACATCTGAGTAACTTGTGATGTATTTGCCAGACTGCTGGTTCCTTGCCTCTCAGGCAGATGCACTCTGATTTCTAAGGAAACTCCCAATTAGACGACTCTTACGACATGCTTTTGGGTGGGCATTGGGTCTATTATTGTTTTCCCTATAATAGGGCCCAGGAACCCTCAAGAGGAAGGACAATTTTAAAGAGTACAGCAATAAACAGATTTATATATATATAAAACAATTAGTTGCGTATCCTTTACAGGACGTTGCAGAACCAACCCCCGCATTTTATTTTTAGCTGTAGTGACTTTTCTAGGCATGTTTACGTTCAATAGTTTGCCATTGCTTTCTGGACGGTCGGTTTCTAAATACCACTGTCGAAACCAACACAAGCCGCAAGGCCCGCAGTCTGGATAGAACCCGGCACCTCGACATTACGCAGCGCGTTCATATCGCCCAAGCTACAGACGCCGACAACAGTTATATACAAGATATTAAAATAGCAAAGTAAAATAATTATTCACAGCCCAGATCAGCAAGAATATATGCAATCCACATTTTAAGGCTGTGTGGGACTGGTGGGTTTTGAGGCTTGGGATTTAGAGCCGCTATGCTAGTGCGGTCACCACGAAATATACAGATTAGTATGCTTACTGTTCACAGCAACAGATAGAAATTTATAACACTTTACCGAGAATCGAACTCGGGTCTCCCGCATGAAAGCTCAGAGTTTTAACCAATCGGTCAGCAGCTGCTCTTAAGCACTTGTATTATATATTTTTAACGACAATAATTTATAATTATATGTTGTAATTAACATTCTAATTAATACGTTAAACAGGGTTAAAAGTTTACGGTTCAGTAGCAGCAACGAAATCAAAGTCGGGATTTCCCCGTGTGGGTTCTGGGGCCCCATTGTGGGGAAAATAAGAATAGACCCACTGCCTCCCTAAAAGCATGTCGTAAGAGTTGACTAATTGGGGAGCTTCCTTTGAAGTCGGAGTGCATCTACCGGAGAGGCAAGGAACCAACAGTCTGTATTCAAGAGAATGAAATCTGTAAAACTAAAGCACACGCAAACTCAGGTTCTGGAGCAGGGCTGCAGTTCAGTAGTGGACGAGCAACCAGAACCTTCTGCCAGAGTTTACAGCTGGTGAACGCGAAGAAGAAGAAGAAAGTCGGGATGTTGAGAGATTGCATCTTCCTGTAGCTAGCTACACAGGGGTGTTAGTCGTGGACTATCCCACAGTTCTCAAGGAAGAAAACTGAGTTTTTTGAGCTGAAGTGCTAAAGAAAATTTCTCAGAATACCATGAAAAAAAAAAAAATCTTCTTTCTTCTTCTTCTCGTTCACCAGCTGTAAACTCTGGCGGAAAGTTCTGGTTGTTCATCCACTTCTGGACGGCAGTCCTGTTCCAGAACCTGAGTGTTGCGTGTGCATCCGTTTGACAGATCTGACTCATTTGTATGCAGACTGCTGGTTCCTTGCCTCTCAGGCAGATGCACTCCGACTTCGAAGGAAGCTCCCAATTAGTCGACTCTTACGACATGCTTTTGGGTAGGCAGTGGGTCTATTCTTGTTTTCCCTATAATAGGGCCCTGAAACCCACACAGGGATAATGATATACTTTCTTCTTGTGCCTTTCTAACCCCTAGCGAGATATAGACCCGCAGCCAATTCACGCCAAGTCACTCTTTCCTTCTCTATCGCATGCAGTTCTCCCCATGTCCTCCCCATTTCCTCCCCATGTTCTCCCCATGTCCTCCCCATGTCCTCCCCATGTCCTCCCCATGTCCTCCCCATGTCCTCCCCATGTCCTCCCCATCTTTTTAACTTCACTCTCTAGTTTCCTTCTCTGTTTTTTTTGTTGAAAAGAGGGGTGGGGGAGGTGGGGGGGGGGGGGTGTTCTTCCTTTATTCCTCTGCCTCTGTGGGTTCCAGTGCAAGAAATTTCAGCTATATTGTTCTCAGGTTCTCTCAACGTGAGTCTCCTATTCAACACTAGCGTCTTTTCTTCACCTCTTGGTCTACTGGAACTTGCTTAGTTCTCTCCCAAAAGTTCTACATAAGTGTTTTGATCATACCATTTAATTCTCTCTATTCTACACAGGAACCAGTTAATGAATGTTTGTAGTTTATGAGTATTGTCTTTAGTTGTTTTCAATGTTTCCGCTCCACATATTTGCACTTATTTGACATTAGAATTAAGAATTTAAAGTTTAGTATTTCCTTTAATTTCTTTTGACCTCCACAAATTTCATTGTGCCATGAAAGCTCCTGTTGCCTTTTGTATTCGTATTTTAATATATGTATCCGTTCCCTATCTTTATCTTCATTACTGCCCAAATAGGTGTACGACCCTACGTCTTGGAGTGGGGTACCATTAGGAGAAACATTATTTGTGTGTGGTTTTTGCTTTAAAAGGATGAGGTTGCTAACTTTAAGCCCACCCCTACCGTTAGTCGCCTACTACGACATGCTTGGTAGGGTGTAGTGTTACTATTCTTCGCTTCCCGTGAGAGCTCTGATGACATACGGGCGAAGGACGTACTAAAAACATCTTAACATCTACGAAGACTGGCTAATAAACAGCATTTGTCTAGAAGGCTGAGATACTTTGGCCGTTGGCACAACAGTAGAAGGCTCCGTACCAGGAAGGAGGGGTAAAGGGTGACCAGCACGGAATTGGGCACAGGATATAAGTGGTCCGTGGGTATGAAAGTACATGTGGCGGAAGAGCTGGTGAGAGACCGAGTTTCTTTCAGACACATCGTAATGAGAGCGGTATTCTGCAAAGAACCTGCTACATGATGATGATAATAATGATGACTTAATAAGTATTAGAGATACAAAGATCGACTATCTGGGGAAAACATACTATATAACTTAGAAGGGTTGAAAAAGACATCTTTAATTTGTAAACTTACTTAATATAACGACACACCCTTGTACTAAAAATCCCGTATATTATAGGATTGGCCGCAGAGTTCAGCGGGGCCATACTCTGTATAAATGTTGTGAACTTTTCAATCGTCGGTGTGTTTGGAAGAGCGCCAAATACGTGACACAGGTTGAATATAAAGTACGGACTCCAGCAGAGGATGAACACTGTTGAATTATTAACGAAACAATTGTTAATCATAAAAGAAATTTACTGATTTACTGACATCCTGGGAAAGTAAAGACAGCCGGCGTAATGCTGACCACATTACCCTCCGAGTGCTGATGGTCTGTAAAAATATGGGACGCTCTGCCCATATGCCCGATGCGCCGAAAGGCGTGAAAAGGGATCTTTACTTTACTTTACTTACTGACATCCTAGCACACCGGGCATACGAATAGGTGCTCTGTCTCCCATAGCAAATGTTATGAAAAGTAGATGCTAAATGATCCTGTAGCACAATAATTATAATCTCGCCCTTCTCTTTTCATACGACCCCCTTGCCCTATTCGTAACTAATTACTCGATCACACATTCTTACACATTTTATTTCATCTAAGCTGCTGTGTTCTATGATCATTTGTTCATAAATGGTCTTCAGAATGCCTCCTTTGTCCAGTGCGAGTGGGTCTGTAGCTACAGCTTCTGTGGTCAGAAAACCCACTCTTTAATTTCTTCGCCTTCTATATATACTTGACAGTTAAAGTTAGTTGCGTATCCTTTACAGGACGTTGCAGAACCAACCCTAACAGCCCCTGGCTGTTGTGTGGTTTCTCTAGGCAATTTACATCCAGTAGTTTGCCATTGCCTCTGGACGGTCGGCTTTCTTGTTACCACTGTCGAAAGAAACGCAAGGCGCATCGCTCGCAGCTGGGATCGAACCTGGCATCCCGGCATTACGAAGCGAAGCGTTCGCATCGACTTAGCCACAGAGCCGACTACTTGACAGTAATTTACCAAAAAAGTAGGCCCCTCCCCCCCTACTTTTCACAACCACTGAACACAGATCTCAATGATTACAAGATTTTAAAAGGACGGTTTTCACATTGTCCCTGGCCCAGGACTCGAGGCCAAGCCGGCCTGATGTAGCCATTACGGGTGCCACCAGTTAAACTGCTTGTCAGGTTTAACGGGGTTTATGGGATGTGCACTCTTGGCTTGACATTTACAATTATATCTGTTGTAATGAGTGTGATAAGACTTTCAGTAGCAGCCAGGAGGAGACAAATACTAAAACAGACAATATGGCTGGATGAATGATGGATGGATGGATGGATGGATGGATGGATGGATGGATGGATGGATGGATGGATGGATGGATGGATGGATGGATGGATAGATAGATAGATAGATAGATAGATAGATAGATAGATAGATAGATAGATAGATAGATAGATAGATAGATAGATAGATAGATAGATAGATAGATAGATAGATAGATAGATAGATAGATAGATAGATAGATAGATAGATAGATAGATAGATAGATAGATAGATAGATAGATAGATAGATAGAGACAGAACACACCAACGAACTTGATTTTAAAAGGGTCATACATTTGGCGGTAGCCTCGTCTTACTTTCAGCCCTTCCTAACACTCACATTTAACACAGACAAATAGGCAGACAGATAGACAGAAATACTGACAAGTAATTAGTCAGCTAGTAGCCAGGGAACCAGCCAACATCCATCTAGGGAGACAAACAGGCAGACGAACAGACAGACAGATATCTCACATTAGATTTAATTTCCCCATAGACTTACCAAGAACGATAAGAAAAGTCATTTTAATAGTTCTAATTTTTGCCTGTGGGATTATCCCCCTTGAACTTTGACAGTTGGTAGTTCTGTCCCGTCTCGTGCTGTTTTCTCGCAGCAATTCTGCAAAATTAATCAGTCAATTGTTATTTTCTAGCGATTCGTCGAAATAACAAGCAGAGACCATGAGATATTTTCTATTGTACAGCGATTCTTCGAAATAAATAACACCGATAGACAATGCGTTATTTGTTATTTTTTAGTGATACAGTGAAATAGATATAGAGACCATTACGTTATTTATTGATAACTAGCGAATGATTGGTTATTGGTGTTATCCATGGTAAAAAACAGTCCTGTGATCCCTTTTTAGGATGCAATTTTTCGTTATTTGAAGCCCTACTCTGGCTCTTGCCAGGGGCCGCAGTATTGCCCAGCCATAAATATGGTCTAATGGCTAAACGCGGTTTTCGGGACCTCTCCACGGGTCATCCTCATCCATATGGTGGCACTTTGTGTCATCGGATGTTTATAGGTTGTGTGATGTCCTGGTGCGGTAAAAGAAGATAGTGATAGCATCCGTTGTTTAGGCGTTGGAAGTCCGATTGTAATTCCAGCGTACCGCGATCAAAACCCACTGCTGGCTGAGTGGATTTTTATCATTTTTTGGGAAGTCGCAGGTCCACCCAGCCTAAAATGGGTAATAGGGTGTATGTCCTGGGGAGGTAAAGACGGCTGGCGTAATGCTGACCACATTATCCATCTAGTGCCGATTGGTCCGTAAAAATTTGGGTGCTCTTCCCATATGCCCAATGCGCCTAAAGGCGTGAAAAGGGATCTAAAAAAAAAACTACACGAATAATTGACATGAACAAGAAAAAAAAAAAAAAAACAACAACACAAGAAGGAGTTTGAAACTATCAAAAATTTAATTTAGTTATTTAACTAAGCAGACCACAAATTATCTATTACTACCCATAGAAATAATGATCAGTCTAATGATTCGACGGGAGTCGTCGTGGCGTAGCGGCTAGATGCTAGCGTGCGGATCGGAGGGTCGTGGGTTTGCTTCCTGGTGGAGCTGTACTTTTTTAAACAAATAACCTTGACTCCCAGGTCGAACCAGCCTTGAGTGGGTACCGGGTACAGTCCCGGGAAGTAAAGGCGGCCGGCGTGATGCTGACCACATGACCCATCTTGTGCCGATTGGTCTTTAAAAATATAGTTCTAGCCTTATATGCCCTATACGCCAAAAGGCGTGGAATAGGGACTGTTACTTTTTTTTAACTTTATCTAACTAATGATTTGACGAAATCAAAACACTAGTATGCGCATTATATCGTCTGGTAAAGACAGACTGTTTCATGTAATAGTTTAACATTTGTAAGGAAAAAAAAAAAACATTCAGCATGTTACCTATTAAATTTAGAATATGGAATCCAAAGGCTTTAAAACCACTCTGACTACAAAGGATGGAATGTTTGTTTTTCAATGAAGATAACAGAATGTTACACAACTGGATTGATCTCATCTGATCTGATCTGATTTCATCTGATTCAAGAACCGACATCAAAGCACTCAGGGCATTCACATAAGCGCTCCATCTTCAGCAGCCAGTGAAAAGTTCAGATACTAATGGTGCCAGTAGCATTCTGATTAAGCGTCTTGACTTTCATCTGAGCCTCGAGCATCTGCCAGAACCTCTCGTCACTCCCCCCTGCATCAATCTCACCAGACTGTGGTGATCCATCTGCTCCTCTGAACTGTACACGTTCTCCCACAAGGCACTAACCACGTCTGCCTTATCATGCATCAGTATTTCACCAAGCTGTGCAGAGCCAGCCAGTCTGTCCGCCTGTTCATTTCCCAACACACTAACATATGTCCTCTGCAGCGAGGCATGCCACTCTGCACGAAGCTTGCCTCTCCCGATCTTCCGCAGCATGCTTTCTGAGTCAGTTACAAACACGATGTGTGTGTGTGTGTGTCGTATTCTCTAGCCAACGGAAAGCTGCGGTGACCACCTTGTGGTTTCATATGCTAGGCTCTCCTGTATTAAACATCGACCATGAAGTTTTGCTAACAAACCCCACGCACTTCTTTTGCCTCTTGACACTGAACTGTCTGTGTAAATGATCAAATCTTCTGAGCGAGAATGATCTTAAATTAATTGCTGAATAGTACCAGCTGGATAAATAATGAAAACAGGAGAATGACAACTTTCAGAGACAAAAAAAAATCATTTTCATTCGCATTTCAAGCCCTGACGCTGCAGATATCAGCGACCTCCATTTATCTCTCTAAACTGGCTGCCTCTTTCCTGTTGGTGACATCAAGTGTTTGTAGGTCTGGATATTTTCTCTCCATCAACTTGTTGGTCTGCCTCGTGGTCTACAACCAATCAACTCCCTGGTGTCCACCTTTGAAAGAAGACTGTACTATCAAAGAAACTACAAGAACATTTGGAAATGCAGGAGACAATAATATCGTTTGAAAGAGTGTTTTAGAGGCATAACAACATTAACTTTCTTAAAGGAAGCAGTTCACAAAATGGAACTAGTTATCAGTCGAGATGAAAGAATGTCGACTTTAAAAGAGAGATGACAGAATATCAAATTTTGGATACCGAGCACAGAATGTCAGCTTTTAGAGACAGCAGCTACAATGTCAGCTGTGAGAACATGTGACGGGATGTCACCTGAACCAAAACAAACGATGGAATGTAGAAAAAAAAAAAAATTTTTTTTTTTTTTTAAATTTAGAACGTAAAAATAATAATAAATAAATAAATAAAAATTGACTATGTCATGTGCACTTTTAAAGACAAATAACAAAAGGTCACAATAAAATTACTGAAGTAATGAATCAAAATTTGCGTCAATTAGAGTTGGGACATTCATACAAGTGCTCTGTCTCCTTCTTCAGTATCAAACGAGGAGGCTTGATAATAGTAGTACCAGGAGCAACCTGATGACAATTCCGTCGAGATTTCCTCCTTTGTGTTGAATATCTTCTACAACCTCTACTCACTCCGCGTTTAATTAGTCTTTCGTGAATGAATTCTCCGTCTGTTCTATGGCAGGGTCGATTTGATTACAGACAACTGTCATCATGTCCGTTTATGGTAATGTAGCTCTCCGCCCAGCGGCAGCAACTAATCTATCAGCCTACTCGTTACCTCGAACATCCGAATATCCTGAACAGTAAATCCATGAAATACTGATCTGAGTTTTATCAAGGGATGCAAGCCAGTATGAACAAAAAAATAAATATAAATCTTCTTGAATCCTTCAGTTGTTATTCAGCAAGACGCAGGGATTTTTTTTTAAAAAACACCGAAAAACTAAATAAAAACGATTAATTTCAACTTCTAAAAACAGATGATAAGCGAATGTTTGAAAACATACATTTGTGAAAAACGATCTTAGATCAGCATTTGAAGATATATGATAGGTCAATAATTTTTGAAGACTGATTGATAAAATGTTGAAGACAAATGCCTTAAAGACAAACGTGTCAATAGGTATTGCCTACCTCCATCTTTGGTACTATTTTTCCTGGTGACGTTGTTGATGAGATGGCTGCTGTTGAAGATGAGGACGATGATGGCGATGTAACATACCAGGATGATAAAAGCAGGTATGAAAAACACGGAGGCTGCCACTAGACTGATGTAGACCTGTGGAAGAGCAGTCAAGTAATTATTTTGTTGTCGTCTTTAATTGTTATCCTGAAGGTGACAGATAATGAGCAGGAAGGGGAAAGAGAAAGCGCGGAGGGTACAGAGATGGAAAAAGGAAGGAAAAGAGACAACGAAGAGGGTAGAGAGATGGCCAGAGGAAGGGAAAGATAAAGTGCTGAGGGGGGGGGGGGGTAGAGGGATTGCCAAAGGAAGGGAAAGAGAAAGTACGGGGTAGAAAGATGGCCAAAGGAAGGAAAAGAGAAAGTGCGGAGATAGAGAAATGGCCAAAGGAAGGGAAAGAGAAAGTGCGGGGGTAGAGAAATGGCCAGAGGAAGGGAAAGAGAAAGTGCGGGGGTAGAGAGATGGCCAAAGGAAGGAAAAGAGAAAGTGCGGGGTAGAGAGATGGCCAAAGGAAGGGAAAGAGAAAGTGCGAAAGAGAAAGTGCGGGGCTAGAGAGATGGTCAGATTAAGGGAAAGATACGACAGTAACTTGGTCAAAGAGAGAGAGAGAGAGAGAGAGAGAGAGAGAGAGAGAGAGAGAGAGAGAGAGAGAGAGAGAGAGAGAGAGAGGTTAGTTATTATCTTCAAGCAATGACAGAGTTTAAGTAAGAATTGAGACAGACAGGCAAACAAACACATAGTTGGTAGGTAGATAAATAGATAGACAGACACACAGACAAATAGGTAGATAAATAGAAAGATAGATAGACAGACAGATAGGCAGATAGCTAGGTAGGTAGATACACAGAATGGTAGACATTCAAGCTGATAGACAAAAAAAAAAAAAAAACACTAGACAGACAATCGTATATTTAGATTCGTAGATATAAAGACAGGAAGACACACAGATAGACAGATAGGCAAACAAATGGGCAAGCAGGCATACATACATATATACATATAGTCAGACAAATAGACACTTAGACAGGTAGACAATCAGACACACAGAGGAAATATACGGTCGTAACTACAATAACAAACGGAAATATTTCCGCAGAAACGAATTCAGATGTAAAAAAAAAAAAATATATAGTCATTCATTTGACGCAAAAGAATAACGAGGAAAAAAATGTAAAAGTGAGCGGTGATATCTCATTATGTAAGCCCACAGACTCCACGGAACCTAAGGCGACAAAAGAAGACAAAATATTAATGGGACTAACGGAAGAGGTGTCGGAAACAGCTTGCGTGACACATCGAAATGATCAGGTCGGGAAGAAAGAGTCGAGTATAGAGTGTCCTTACACACAGTTTCGTGTGGGTAATGTTATGTAAGCACTTTCCAGTAGTTGCAATTAAGTCTTAGTTGTCACTGAAAAGGGTTATTTGTACCTAGAAATGATGTATGAATGAATAACTGTAAGCAAGGTGTGAGACTGCAAGGGAAAAGTGTTAGACTGGCCTAAGTTCCAAATTTGTTACCATGGGAAAATAAAGTTTGTTGGTTCCTTCGTTGGTTTGTAAGTCAGGTAGGTAAAGTAAAAAAATGACCATTCTGACGCTTTTGCTATCTCGGAAATACGTTGCTAGAATTAGGCACTTGATGGGTTATGTGTTCAACACCTCGTCTACTGCCTTCGCCTTGACAACATCTACCGCCTCTACACTGATCTTGTCTACCACCTTTACTTCCTAGGAAAATACCTAATAACCTTTTAAGCAGGGTCGACCTAGCAGCCATCCTAATTTTGAAAAAAAAAAAAAAAAAAAAAAAAAACAACACATTTCTATACAGGTTTGAACTCAAGACATTTGAGCCGCCAGGCGAGCGTTTAACCACCTCCTTTCGCGGCTTTTGGCACCTCTTTATCGACTAATCCCAATGCATCCCCAGTAGAGTAACTGTGAATGTAAGAGTTAACTATTGCCGTCTTCCTCTCTGTACCCCATTTACTAACCCTTTAGACGCCATTATCACTCTTTCACCTTCTTTCTCTCTCTCCTCTCATTTTTTTTAACCCTCTTCTTGACTACCCCTCTCTGCACCCCACCCCCCCCCCTCCGTTACTCCGCACGTCTTCTCTCTACCTTTGTCAATTTATTCACTATTCTCCCCTTCCCTTCTATCTCCTGGGTTATCACTCGCCCTGTTTCCTTTTCCCACTACTTTCTTCATACCACCTCCAATTTATCCCCACCTGTACTCTCTCTTATTTTTCTTGTTTGCTTTCTCTTACACTCTTACACACTCCCTTTTGTATCTCTTCCTCCCTCTCTACCATCTCTTTTCCTTTTCTCTCTTTACCTAACTCCTGTCTCCTCCACTACTCCGCCCTCTCCCCTCTCTCTTCCTTTCTATAATCCTATTTTATTTTATACCTCGCTCTTCATTCCTCTCTTACTCTCTCTTCCCCCTTTCGTCGTTAACTTCTGTTTCCCTCTTCCACTTAATCTCCCGCTCTCCCCGTCACCACTCTCTGTTTTAAGCAGTGCCACTCACAGGAACGGCAACTCTCCAGAATTTTGAGGAGCAGGAAATACCTGCCCTCACTGACAACTGAGAGTGTCAACACACGAAGCACGAGCTTCCGGCTGGGCGACACGCAGGCTAAACTACTTCCGGTTTATTGATTTTGCCACCGGTTCTTGGTATTTTTATTTCATTTTATCTGCTACGTTCAGTTTTCGAGAATTCTGTTGTAGAAAAAAAAAAAAGCATAAACATACATCAACATTTCCTCACATACATAGTCATATTTTTGCATACATGGACATATCCTTGCACACACAAACACATGCCTAAATTCATAGACACAATACATATACGGAAATGTTCTTACATACATAGGCTTATCCTTACATGCATAGCTATATCCTTACATACATATCCTTAAGTAGACGAAAACGTAATGAAATACATGGACACAATATGACATGCGAGAAAAAATCCTTATATACCTAGACATATTCTTTCATGCATAGACATAGACTTATCCTTGCATGCATAGACATTTTCTTGCACATAAGAAATAATCTTACAGACAGATATATCCTTGCACATACGAACATACGCTTATGTACATAGTCAAATCTTTGCATATACGCAAATTTTCTTACATACATAGACATATTCACGAAAATATTCTCATATACGCAGACATTTCCTTGCATACACGGAAACTTACTTACATACACAGACATACTCTTGCATATACGAACATATTCTTATATAAAAAGACATATCCTTGCATATACGAACATATTCTTATATAAATAGACATACTCTTGCATATACGAACATATTCTTACATAAATAGACATATCTTTTAATATAAAGATATACACAGAGACTAGATCGGATACAGAACGAGGCCATGGGTAATCAGACTTGGGTGTACACACAGAAAATTCAGCATGCAGAGCGATGCGTTACCTTCCTGATCGTCCAACCATGGAAGTGAGAACAGTGATCTGCAGAGTAATAAGTGCGTATCTGCGTATCGGTGCTGACACACACCATCTGTTGTAAAGTGAGATTTGCAGGAAGAAGATACGCAGGTTAAAAAGAGGAAAATCCTGGGTGGGTCAGGCTAGGGACATTATTCAACAAGTTTGTTCAACCGAGGAGGTAGGATCTGATGAAGAATAGGTAGAGTGGCGTACATCCTTTTCAGTCTGCAACAATACTAGATAGAGATTGCAGACAACAAGGCCTTATCTGTACAAAAAGATATAGAGAATTTTGCCTCGACTACAAGTAATCTGACTATGGAGGTGATGGCGGTAACAAAACCATTGATGTGTCTTAGCTGGTTCCTAGTGGTTTGTTCTTATTGACTGACACTCTAAGTAGACAGGTGGTATGAAAAGACGATATCTCATTAATATACTGTATAACAATTTCATTTGTCCGGCCAGTGTCCCCTACGAACTAGCAAGTCCAGCATTTTAATACAACATTGTTCAGACATCAACTTGGAGTATTCTCTCGTTCGCACTCAGTCCCTCTCAGCCCCCTTTCCTCACATTCAGAATACACGCCATGGTTGCTCCTGCAGTTCTAAGCGGGGTGGTTCGACTTCTCGAGCAATTGGAAACTGATTGGATGCCACTTCGGATAAGATCACCGTCAGGCTGTCATCTTTTTGTCTCCTCTCAGAACAGAACTTCTCACATCGCCAAATACACAGTTACATTCAGGCTGAATCCCAGATACATCCTTTCGCTCAGGCTGGCAAACACAGACTGTCTGATTAGACCTTTGTCTAATCTTATAACATTGTGCTGGGTTCCACGTGCCTTTACATGCTCGTCTACACTGCTCGAGTACCTCGTGTTTCTACGAGTATTTGCGTTATACCGTTTTTCTCTCGTATCTAGAGGTTTCCCCTCACATTCTTCCCCTAGGGAATCCCCGTGGGAAAATACCAACATTACGAGAAGAGACCGGATGGATTCAAAGAAAATGTTTGGAGTCGCTAAGGAAATCTCGTCTGAAAGGAATTAGTTTCATTTTTATGCCAGGACACTCTGGCGTAAGAGGGAATGAACGAGCGGATTGACTTGCTGATTGGGTCACTGTAGGTACAGGAAAAGCGATGGACTGGGTCGACATTCTAAATGCTCTTAAGAAGACAAGACGATAAGATGATTCAAAAGACGACGTCAAATCGGCAACACTTAAAAGACTATGAGAACTTCAGGTCAAAAGAGGTGTCGCAAAACGTAAACACTAGACAGGTAGCCAAAGAAGAATAGTCAACCAACCCACAACTGGTGTTATCAGTCGCCACAGGCTGAGGAATATACTTACGATGGAATCCGACCGCTTATAGACCTATCAGATGTGCAGTGAGGATAACCTTTCGATGAACTAATTAACTTACTAACTATCCTTGTATATACGAACATATTCTTACATACATAGGGATATCCTTGCATTTACAAACATATTCTGACATACATAGGGATATCCTTGCATTTACAAACATATTCTGATATACATAGACCTTTCCTTGCATGTACAAACATATTTTGACATATATAGACATATCCTTGCATATACAAACATATTCTAACATACATTGACATATCTTTGCATATACAAACATATTCTGACATAGATAGACATTTCCTTGTATAGAAGAACATATCCTGGCATACATAGACAAATCCTTGTATAGACGAACATATCCTGACATAATAAACTTATCCTTGTATAGACGAACATATCCTGACATAATAGACATATCCTTGTAAACATATTCTGACATACATAGACATATCCTCGTATAGAAGAACATATCCTGACATAATAGACATACTTGTATAGACAAACATATATGTATCCTGACATACATAGACATATCCTTTGAATAGACGAACATATTCTGACATACATAGACATATCCTTGTATAGACGAACATATTCTAACATACATAGACATATCCTTGTATAGACGAAACATATCCTGACATACATAGACATATCCTTGTATAGACAAACATATTCTGACATACATAGACATATCCTTGTATAGACAAACATATCCTGACATACATAGACATATCCTTGCATATCCTCTGCCCCCTTATAAGTATCCTATAATTATCAATGGGGGTAGGGGTGTATTTCTGTGTTGTGCAATAATAACAATGTTTATTACTATTACTACGAAGTGCTGGATGGGAACACATATATTAACATATCTGAACAAATATGAAATTGTTAACGCATTTTTATACTTATAAGGAGACCGCCTAAATGTTTTCATAGGGATCATTAGTATCTTTTGCAAATCTTCTGAGGAGCGGCTGTCCGAACGGTTAGAACGCTGGGCTCTCAAGCGTAGGATACAGGTTCGAGTCCTCCGTAAGACTGGGGATTTCTTTTTCTGTCAGCGGCAAAATAAAATCCCTACGTGTACAGTCGTGGCGACAGCACTAGCCACGCGACCGTAAATCCCCAGGCTCTAGGCTTCTTCCCCCCCCCCCCCCTTTGCCTACACCACAAAAGTGGTTAAAAAAAATAAAAGGCTGCAATTTGCCGTTTTTTAGCAAATTTTATAGAGCGCTGGGGTTCGCCCTCCCTAAAAGTATTTGAGGGAGGGCGGGGACCCTAAAAATGAGAGGAAGGGGGAGCTCAATGTGCTTGAGCTGCCGGGTTCTGACGACAGTAACAAATAACATGGACATATGAATACTTACTTGCCAAGACAACTGACGACAGTAACAAATAACATAGACATATGAATACTTACTTGCCAAGACAACTGACGACAGTAACAAATAACATGGACATATGAATACTTACTTGCCAAGACAACTGACGACAGTAACAAATAACATGGACATATGAATACTTAATGCCAAGACAAATGACGACAGTAACAAATAATATGGACATATGAATACTTACTTGCCAAGACAACTGACGACAGTAACAAATAATATGGACATATGCATACTTACTTGCCAAGACAACGCCGAAGTGAAGTCAATGCTACACATTGGCCCCCCTTGGATTTCCGTGACATCAAACAAGACCAGCTCTGGTATGGCAAACATACATGAGAGAACCCAGGCCACAACTATTAGGATTTTCACACGAAGCCCTGTAGACGGATGCATGGGAAGATGTTATTCACGCATTATTGCTGCAGAAACAAATTCCGGTTGAAGATAAGGGGGTGGAGATGGGGGGGGGGGGGGGGGGGGTTAGGGGAGAGCTGGGCAGCAAAAGGCTATTTGCACACCAGGATGGCATAACTATGGATCTGTAGCTTATAAAAACAAATCAGCGCTGAATGTGTGATATAGACAACATCATGCCGGCAGCTTTTGTTTCCCTGTATATTTTCTGGCATCCATTTTTGGTTAGACCAACATATGAGCCCTAAGTCAATTATACAAATGTATAGATTTTAGCCCAGATCGTCTGACTGGTATGCACGTGCCTTGCCACTGCCTCACCCACAGGCTTCCTGTGGCGAAGGGGTCAGCTTGTCTCTCACCGTGAATATCGTAGGTTCGGGTTCGACTTCGTCGTTCAGTTTATGACAGCAATTGTAGCCAAACTTCAGCGTGGATCGACGCCACAGATAAATGAATGAATGAATGAATGAAGTTATTAATCATGAATTAACAAGGCACTCGGGTCATTCCTAAAAGGATCACCACCCCCTTTGCCTTACGGTGGCAAGGAATAAGATCCCTACGGTTCTGAGGGAACCGATGAAGAGTCTAGGTCGCGTTTACGATTCGAAGTTATCTGATAGAGCGGAGGTCCGGCGAATGCACGAGTCACTGGCTACAGGCCTGCTCGCGATCAAGCGATGCAGGCTGATCGGGAAATTCAAGGTATGGTGTCTCCAATTCATGTTGATTCCAAAGCTCCTATGGCCACTTTTAGTCTACGAGGTGACGATGACTGCAGTGGAAACCATGGAGAAGAAAATCAACACAGCCTTGAGAAAGTGGATTGGTGCACCGCCTTGTCTGACTGACGTGGCTCTGTATTGCAAACAGGCTAAGCTGGTACTTCCGTTTAAATCAATAACCGAAGAGTTTAAAGTCGGCAAGGTAAGACTCGCCATGCTATTACGCGAGTCTTCAGACCCAAATGTCACCGCTGTCCAGCCCGCTCTAAAGACTGGCCAGAAGTGGGGAGTCCTCGATGCGATAGAATCTGCCCAGAATGCACTAAAATTGAAAGAGATAATGGGATACGCTCAAACCGACCCTCGAGGCCTAGGGCACGGGAAGGTCAATTAGTGGTCAAAGGCCTCAGCCAAAGAGCGCCGAGACATGGTAATACAAACGGTGAGGGACAACGAAAACGAGGTTCGGGTCCAGAAAGCAGCCCAGCAGTCGCAGCAGGGCCATTTGGTCAGCCTGGAGAGCGCATTGCCAAGAATACTCACATGGGGTGAGATCTGGCGGATGACCCCGCTGCGACTGAGCTTTATCGTTCGTTCGGCGTACGATGTATTACCGTCCGGTGTTAACATGGTTAAATGGTCTGCGACCAACGATCCGACTTGCCCGTTGTGTAAATCGAAGCAAACTCTTGAGCACGTCCTGTCCGCGTGCAGGAAAGCCCTAGGTCAAGGCCGATATACCTGGCGACACAACAAGGTGCTAAAAGAGTTAGCAGCCGTCGTCGACCAGGCTAGAATGAGGGCTAACGCCAGAGCCAGTTCTAGCATCGTCCCCATTCGTTTCCTAAAGGCTGGGCAGGTTCCAAAAGGTAAGGTCAACCAAAACGCATTCGCTCCATCTGTGCTAGACTCTGCGAGGGACTGGTTACTGGCGGTTGATCTGCCAGGCCATGAACGGTACCCCGAGTTGATTCGTAAGACCGGCCTGCGACCGGACATAGTTCTCCACTCCGCGCAAAAACGGCAGCTTAGCCTGATTGAGTTGACTGTCCCGTTTGAGTCGCGTATAAAGGAGAATCACATGTATAAGCTCGAGAAAAACAGTGATTTAGCAGCCGGTCTGAGGAGAAACGAGTCGTACACGGTACGGGTATTTGCCGTCGAAGTGGGAGCGAGGGGCCTCGTTTCCACTTCGCTCTACAATGTGGTGAAAGAACTAGGATTGCGCGGTAATGAATGGAAACGAACAATTAAAAAACTGGGAGAGGTAGCCGAAAGAGCCTCTAGCTGTCTTTGGACGCAACGCAACAACGTAGGGGACGGGCCTCGGTGAGCTGGTCCGGGTCTCTAGTGGATAAGGGTTTCTCTCCCCTTTGAAAGTCCATCGTGTCCGAATTGTCTGCCAGTGTTCCTCTGCCACCTGCTAATAAAAGTCCAACATGTGTCCGGTAAACCAAACGTAAGCTTGTCGCTCGGTCGTCCAGGCATGCTGACTGCTTTAATTAGGCTGCCGCGGCGACTTCTTATCTCACAGTACCTTCTGCGAAACCACCAAAGTCGTCTTGTCTCTGGACGAAAGAAAAACACCATCCGGTAATTTCGTGCAGCAGGGAACCAGCCCTGAGCTTCATGAACTCAGAAGGGCCCACCTCCGAATGCGTCTAGGAATCGTGGGCCGAAACGCGTGTCGACGAGGATAATTTCTACTGATGACTGGTAGATCCCTGCTGTACTTGCTCCCTGTGAGTTTATTCCTACAAATGTATAGATTTTAGCCTAGATCGTCTGACTGGTATGCACGTGCCTTGCCACTGCCTCACCCACAGGCTTTCTGTGGCGAAGGGGTCAGCTTGTCTCTCACCGTGAATATCGTAGGTTCGGGTTCGGACTTCGTCGTTCAGTTTATGACAGCAATTGTAGCCAAACTTCAGCGTGGATCGACGCCACAGATAAATGAATGAATGAATGAAGTTATTAATCATGAATTAACAACAAGGCACTCGGGTCATTCCTGAAATGACCCCCCCCCCTTTCCTTCCTCAACGCAATAGCACTCAGTAGCCAGCAATGAGCTTCCGTTCTGATTGTAGCAAATGCTACCTCCTGTTTGTGTAGATTGCCTGTTTCCCTACAGAGCGTAGGAATAGAAAGTCGTTGTGACCCTCTCGAAGCTAGAGATACGGCTTTCCTGCTTTATGCGACGCTCTTATCAGTCGATCGTTATTCGGTGAGAAGTCAAAATAGTATCAAAACTTGTTTTTACCCAAACCACTCTTTCAGCTGCGTGGTTAAAAATCGTTACCATGAAAGGACTGCAGCTTACACCAAGCTGGTGTATCCTTAAGCCTAAATTATAACTTATATGGAGACTGAACGGGGTATCTCAGATTTGCCTTCTTGGCTTGCCACCCAATTGCGATTTTGAAATCTCACAGTGGTTTAATTTTCCGGTAGCAGCCAGGAGGTGACAATACGGAAGGAATGAAGAACCCACTCTCTCGCCTTAAAACCACAATACAGGTACCAAACCCAGCCTAGGCCACATTTCCAAGACGTTTATAGTATTGGACACAAACTTATTCTGCTTACTGTTCATGCTATACGGCATTGGAGATTATGTCTGTCGGCATTCGTCTGTCTCGTGTAATGCCAATTGGTTTTGATATAATTGTTCTCTCACGCCATAATGGAAGACTGTCCCATATATACTCTTGCACGTGCAAAATATCCATCTATCGCTCTCCCTCCCCCCGCTCGCGCGCGCTTTCTCTCTGTTGTGTGTGTCTGTGTGGGTGGCTCAGTGTGTATCCGTGTTTGTGTGTGCCTGTGTGGGTTTATGTTTGTGTATGTCTGTGTGTGTGTGTTTGTAGGTGTTTGTTTGTGCAGCTGCGTGAGTGTATGTGTGTGTTTGTGTGTGTGTGTGTCTGTACAGCTGTATGTATGTATGTATGTATGTATGTATGTATGTATGTATGTATGTATGTATGTATGTATGTATGTATGTATGTATGTATGTATGTATGTATGTATGTATGTATGTATGTATGTATGTATGTATGTATGTATGTATGTATGTATGTATGTATGTATGTATGTATGTATGTATGTATGTATGTATGTATGTATGTATGTATGTATGTATGTATGTATGTATGTATGTATGTATGTATGTATGTATGTATGTATGTATGTATGTATGTATGTATGTATGTATGTATGTATGTATGTATGTATGTATGTATGTATGTATGTATGTATGTATGTATGTATGTATGTATGTATGTATGTATGTATGTATGTATGTATGTATGTATGTATGTATGTATGTATGTATGTATGTATGTATGTATGTATGTATGTATGTATGTATGTATGTATGTATGTATGTATGTATGTATGTATGTATGTATGTATGTATGTATGTATGTATGTATGTATGTATGTATGTATGTATGTATGTATGTATGTATATATGTATGTATGAATGTATGTATGTATGTATGCATGCATGTATGTATGTATGTATGTATGTATGTATGTATGTATGTATGTATGTATGTATGTATGTATGTATGTATGTATGTATGTATGTATGTATGTATGTATCTATGTATGGATGGATGGATGGATGGATGGATGGATGGATGGATGGATGGATGGATGGATGGATGGATGGATGGATGGATGGATGGATGGATGGATGTATGTATGTATGTATGTATGTATGTATGTATGTATGTATGTATGTATGTATGTATGTATGTATGTATGTATGTATGTATGTATGTATGTATGTATGTATGTATGTATGTATGTATGTATGTATGTATGTATGTATGTATGTATGTATGTATGTATGTATGTATGTATGTATGTATGTATGTATGTATGTATGTATGTATGTATGTATGTATGTATGTATGTATGTATGTATGTATGTATGTATGTATGTATGTATGTATGTATGTATGTATGTATGTATGTATGTATGTATGTATGTATGTATGTATGTATGTATGTATGTATGTATGTATGTATGTATGTATGTATGTATGTATGTATGTATGTATGTATGTATGTATGTATGTATGTATGTATGTATGTATGTATGTATGTATGTATGTATGTATGTATGTATGTATGTATGTATGTATGTATGTATGTATGTATGTATGTATGTATGTATGTATGTATGTATGTATGTATGTATGTATGTATGTATGTATGTATGTATG